TGAAAAGAGGATTGAGCCAGAGATGCTTACTTAGATCTTTCCACCTCATCCAGGCTGAGATTCTTGGCAAATAGTAGTCTGGAGGCTGCAGGGCCCTGAAGCAAGCACTCAGTAAATTCCCCTGAAATCCCCTGACGCACAGGATTTTTATATAAAGAAAAAGAAAACCCCAAGATCCAGAGGATCACTGCAGAGCCTGGCTCTTCTTCCTTCTTTAAGGACCCAAGGAGAGAGCTGCAAAAAAGTACACATGGACCATAAAGATGGCAGTTTTAGTGGCTCCTCCCACACTGTTCTTTACCAATGTGCCCTCTTCTGAGAAACGAGAGGGGCAGAGACGGGGCAGAAAGAGCCAGCCTTGCTTTTGCTAAATCTCTGCAAAGAGAGAACTCTTTCTGGGACATTATAACTGTTGTTGGTATCACTCTATGTTCAAAGATAAGATTCTATACCATGCAGGTAGAACTTTCTAAATAAATCAAAAAACACTTAAACCCAAACATTTACTCAAGTTAAAATCTTACCTGGAAAGATGCTCAGTCCTCTGTTTACTTCTAAGCTAATGATCAGAGCTCGAGCTGTGATGCTAAAAATTTGTCGTGGTGCAAAGTTCAAACCATCAGTAACCTGAAAATTAAAGCCTCCTGACATGGCTCCTTCAAAAAAAGAAATTACACTCTAGTCAATTTGGTTGTTCTGCAAGAGTTACCCACTTTAGTCTTCTCTCCCACTTAATTCCCTTGCAAGATAACCCCTATAATTAGAAAGTACGTTAACACAGCCACTGAGTTCACACAAATATTGTCAAAACATGAAGTTGAAAGAATGATAAAGGTCCAAAATGCATATCTCCACTTCCCCCTCCCCCATGACATATTAAAGGAAAGCAAAGATGGTACTTCCAAGAAATTAAAAAAAAAAATTTAAAACATATTCATTATCTGCATTTTTATTATTTGGAATCAATTTATACCAGTAAAAGTAATGTATGCATGCAACACACACACACACACACACACACACACACACCAGCAGTTTCTGAAATATTAATAACACTTGATAATACTGAAAATCAAAACTAGGGTGACGTAAATAACAATTAGCCCCTCCCTCCAAATAATTCTAATTTGAGATATTCTATCTCAAACTAGCTGCTTGCTGCCAAGAAGAGAAAGAGAGTGGTGAAAGATCCAGGCCCACTTTTGTTAAATTCCTGCAAGAAAAGAATCCTACTCCCACACTTCTGTCAAGGCATTAGTGATATCACTAAAGGTATAAATTAACTTATGTGCGAAACAGACATTGAGACGGGCCCCCTATCGATCCAGTTCCCCGGAGTGCTTTACCAATCTGACTCACAAAGCACCAGGGAAGATCGCAATGCAGAGCCTGATGTTCACATTCCCGTCACCCTTTGAAAATGTTCATTCAGCAGTAAATCTGGAGGCCCACAGGTCTTTGCATCATGTAATGGGTAGAAATGTCCTCTTTGTTGCCCTCAGGGACGTGTGGCAAGGAACAAAGAAGGCATGGCCAGACTCTGCAATTACATACAGTACTTCCTTAATGACATGACTTAATAAAGGGGTGGCCAAGGGCTTAACAGAATCTCAAGTTTCTGTTATCTAAGCAAACCCTGAGAGTTCTGATTCCTCACAAAAAAGGTTAGAGTCTTATAAAAAAAAAATTCCCAATATGCTCGAATCATCATTTAAAAAGAAAGAGAAAAAGAATTCTGAGTCTACCTAATTTTGCACAAGAGCCTATGACCAAATTTGTTTGTTCGTTTGCTTACTTGTGTTTACTAGAAATAGTACTTGGAAAATTGTATTTAATTTATCATGAAATTAGAGAGAGAATGTTTTCTGCCATTAGGCACTTTGAACATTTCATGAATCCGAAATAAAATGGAAACGGAATCAAAAGGAATTATATCAAAACAAATACTGGAATGGCAGGCTGAGTATACCCTAACTATCATACGAATTTATGACCAAAGAGAGGAAAGCAGGATGACATGAATGTAGGGGCGACCTGTGGATTTTCTATTGTACAAGCTCAGATTTTCCTGACAGTGCTTTCAGAAGGGCAACCTGAAATCACTTAGCCTCTCACATCTTGGCTTTGTCAACCTACTTAGGTTGTTATGTGGAATATAATTTGATTAATGGCAGAGCACTTTGCAAGTATAACATGCTAAGAGAGACTAATTAAACCCAAGCCTTTTGTTTGTGGCTGATGATGGACAGACGTAACAGGGAAAACCAGCTGGTTTCAGCAACAGATTCATCTGCAGCTGGGCTCCAGCCACTTTCAGAGCTATTATTGCCTCCAAGTCCATTTAGAAAATGTGATGGATTGGCTCTCAAAGACCTTGCCTTTAACTCTCCTTCATGCTTTTTTAGAAGAAATTATTCCCTCTACTTGCCAAGAGTGAATATTGACCTGGCAGTTGACAAATTAATACAGAGAGCTAATTATTATTTGAAACCTTCACTGCAAATAGTAACCAGTTCTTCAATCTACTCTGCCCTTCGGTGGGTGGCAGCTAGTGGAGAAAGTCCAGCTTCAGGGTCAGACCAACTTACATCTTTCTGAGTCTCAGTTTCTTTGTCTCTAAAATGGGGTCAGGACTCCTGATGGCTCAGAGAACTTTTGCAGATCAAATGAAATGGAGCCAGTGACTGCACCTCCTGCGGTGGCCAGCATGTGCCAGAGGGTCAGTAATTTCTTTCCGTTGCAAACTGTATAGCTTTAGAAATCCAAAACTTCCCTCATGCAAGTCTCTAGAGCAGTTCTCTCCATTTCGAAAATATGATAATCTTTTCATAAAAATAAAACTCTTTCTAGGCCCTCACCTAACACTCAGATTTTTGCTATCTACTAATAAGAACCACACATAATTGGCAGAAACCTCCTATCAACTCAGTGCTTCTTTAAATGAATTGTATTTTATTAATAAGCACGTCTGCACACATTTAAAAAATGGGAACATATATATGTGGAAAAAAAATCACTCAGTCTAGAAACAGTGCTTTGACACATGCGTGTAGATTTAGGATCTCGTTGCAATAACACTAACTCCACAGGTCCCCAGACTACATGTTTTGAACCACTAGATGAAAGCATCCACAGAGTCAATTATTTTCAGATTATTTGGGGATTCTTTGCATTAACCGTAAAGATAATCAGGAAATTACTACATTTAGATTTAGATGTTTTATCTCTATTTCCTGTATTTTCAAATAAGATAATTAAAAATGGCTGAAAAGATATGATTTTAGCTTTTCCATCATGTGTCACTGGCTCACGCTCCCTCCCATTTCCTCTCACAGGCTGGGAATGGGCTGTTTCCTCTCTCAGGCCACTAAAAAGGGCAGCCTGGAAACAAAGCCAGGCTGGGCACTTCTGCAGATTTATAGTGGCTGCTTGACTTATTGATTTATTGATGAACAGAAGGAAGAAGAAAAAAGCTTTTAATGTCAGGGTCTCTTAGAATTATAGTTATAGTCATCCATTCATTCGTTCATTCATTCATTCATCTCTTCATCTAACGAATATGTTTGGTTTGTTCACTAATGTCCCTACCATCTGGAACATTATCTGGCACATAATAAGTATTCAATATTATTTCATTCTTTCAACAAATTTTTATTAAGCACCTACTATGTTCCAGACTGTTCTAGGTGCTGAAGATTCAAAAGTAAACAAAACAAAGATCCCATTCTTATGGTGCTTATACTCTAGTGGAAAAAGAAAAAAGACAACAAACAAACAAATCAATCTACACTACAACGTCAGGTCATGGTAAAGGAAGGAGGCTGAAAGAGAAGAGATGCTGTTTTAGAGGGTGGTCAGGAAAAGGCTGAGAAGCTTCTATTTGAGCGCAGACCTTACATGACAGTGTGAGGGAGCCACATGTGAGTTAAGGTGTTTTCTAATGTTAGCTATTATCAGCCTTATTAAAATGTGTCACTTTTTAAAAAAATTATAGAGTCCGAAAAGTTTTTAGATGGCTTGTGGTTTTCAGTCAGCAAGTTATTAGGTTTGACTACCTTGTTAACGTCTGACTGAAACTCATTTTAGTTTTACATCGTTTTTCTCTATGACATACCAGTGTGTACAAACACTAGCTGGCCATTGTTGATTTGAACCTGGGTGAAGTTCTGGATGCTCTGGCCAGGAAAGGACTTGAGAGCCAAATGTCCGTTGCTGGGTGGAGTGACCCAGTAGGCAAGGTCCTGTGGGGATGAGTCCCCATCTTCCGCACAGAGGTCACTACTGGTAATTTCAGTGACAGAATTCACCCACACCTGAAAAAGAAGAGAACCACAGATCTTGTAAGGACCAATTCCAACCACGTCACATTAGTAAACTGGATAGCTATGTTACCCTGGCCTCTTGCACAAAGATTTAAAACTAAAGTCATTCGCCAGAGATTTTAAAGCACGAGATTTCTTAATCCAAAACAGACATACAATTAAATGCCAGATGAAATGCAGGGCATGTTGTAGTGTTTGTTTAATTTATGAGGTTTAAATAAAAAAGAAGATTCATAATTATTTATTCAAAAATAATTATTTAAAGTGCATATGCAGTTATATAAAGTATAATAGCAATAATAAATGATGGGCTAGTAAGCACCTTCTGTGTGGCTGACATATGCACATCTACATGGAATCTCAGATAATCACAGAATCTACTTCAGAGGGTTGATTTAAGGGTTTTTATTCATAACTTTAATAAGGAAATGATTTTATCAGCTTTTAAAAATTAGAAGGAACAACACATACTGCACATTTTTTATTCTCTTTTATCTCACCTGTCTTACAGAAAAGCAACTATCTGCTTCCTATAGACTTGCAATGTTTGCTGTGCTGATATCTCATCTACAGTTGTTTCTGAATAATAGTCTCTGTTATGCAATTGCTTTTAATATCTATTTACATTGCCTGACTATCTTATTAAATATTCATTATTTATTGAGCATCTGCTATGTTCCAGGCAATGTTCCAGAGGCTTGCAATACATCAGTAACAAAATAGGGTCTGGTCCTCATGGAGCACATGTTCCAGCAGGAGAAAATAAAAAGCTATGGGGAAAAAACAATAGGCACAATAAAGAAATGAATTATATAGTCTACAGAAGGTCACAGGCACTGTGAAAAAAATTTAAATAAAGCAAAATGAGGGGCTCGAGAGTGAGAAAATGTTAAATAGAAGGCTCATTGGTGAAAATCGAAGGAAGTGAAGGAGGAACCACGTAGATATCTACGAGAGGAACAACCAGACAGAGGGAAAGGTGCTGAGGTGAGAACGAGCCTCATTTACATGAGGAGCAGCAAAGAGGTCATTGTGGTGGGAGCAGAATAAGCAAGATGAAGGGTAAAAGGAGATGAGTCCACCACGCAATGGCAGGGCACATCCTACAAGGTCTTGAAGGCCACCTTGAGAACTTCGGCTTTACTTGAGTGCAGGGGGAATCATCGTAGGTCTCTAGGTGAGGATTAACCTCGTTTGACTTAGGTCTTACAATCCTTCTGGCTTCTGTTATCAGGAATAGACTGTGGGAGAGTGAGGGTGGAATGGAAGCAAAGAGATCAGATAGGAGGTGACAGCAATAATCCCAGAGGTAGATAAAAGAAGAAAGTGGACAGAAGTTGTAGAGTTGTTGAGAAGTGGTCAAATTCTGGGTGTATATTGAAGGTAAAGCCAACAGAGTGTCTGACAAATTAAATGTGGTAAGGGGTGGAAGCAGAAAAGCTCCGCAGTTTAGGCTTCAGCAACTACCGCCAACTGAAATGAGGAGAGCTGCAGGAGAGTGGACATGGGGAGTAAGATCAGGAGCTCAGTTTTGAACATGTTGAGTTTAAAATGCTTATTGAGACATCAAGTCATATCTGATGGAATTAGGCTGTTTGAATTTCTATAATCATGCAATCAGGTGATTCACTAACACTAAAAATGGGCAGCTATATCACTAACTAAATTTTCAAATTTCTATCTGTATTTGTAAATGTCTTCCCCACAGACACACCATGCACATTCCCAAGCTCATTTCATTCTTTGCCTTCTGACTAGAACCTTAACATCTTCTACACTTGATACCAATTTTTTAGAAAATTCAATCCTAAGCATTTAATAGATAACCTCTCTGGTCTAAGAGGCTCAGTAGAACAGTTTATGAAATAACTTAACTCATGCCCACTTACCTTCCAATAACTATTTAAACATAATTTGAGAAAGGGAGACAAAAAAGTATATAGGATTCAACATTTTCATATCAGGCATGATATGCTACTTCAGCTATGTAACCTCGGACGCATTTCTTAATTTCTCTGTGCCTTAATTTCCTCATCATCGGTAAACTAAGAATGATAGAATTATTAAATATAATGAGGGATTTAAGATATGTAAAGTACTTAATTCAGACAAGCTTCACCTAGCACATAATAAGTATTCAATATTAATATTAGCTTTATGTTATCTATCTTCAGCACATCTGGTCTAAGAATAGATGTGATTTTTCAAAATATTACTTAAAAGTCATTTGGAGTGCGATGCTAACCACTATTGGGACTATTCCATAACATGTACTGCAGATTTTCTTTAATCCCACAGCATTCCTTCATAATTTGAGGTGGATGGTTTATCTGTTTAATGATTGTGTTATCAATGCCCCTATATCTTGGCATTTGGGATATGGCCACTAAAGATTTTTCAGCTTTAAACTATAAGTCCATCAATTTTCAAATAGCTACCAGAAATTCTAATCAACCTAATGTTCAAATTATAAGGTTCTGGCATTTAGTTAATCCATGGAGAAGTTATAGTTTTTATAAAACATACAAGGTAGATTATTTAACAAAATTCCAAGCCCACTCATTTTAGTTTTTCACTTTTTACACTTTCAAATCCATTTATGCATCTTATTCTCATTTCTTCAGGAAATCACATTGATTTGGAAACGTATTGCCATTTCTCTTCCCATGATTCGTAGATGTTCATTTTTTCCAATACCATGCATCCAAAAGCTGGATGAGGCATGTTTTCCACTGTATTACTCTTCTGAGAAACACTGCCTTGCCCCCTCTTGCCTCTGGAATATACCATCTTCCAAAACAAACAGAAAACCTGCCACTCGAAACAAGAGCTAGTAACCTCAGGTCTTCATTTCCACTCAAACCAAATTTAGTTCAACTAACAGCCCCATTGCTTTGGGTGAGACCTGATTTAGTGCCCAGCCTTTGTCAATACAAATTTCAAATTTGTGAGGAGAAGAAGAACAAAGACCCTGAACTTGAATTCAGATTTAAAAGTGACCCAAAGCCCAAGAAAACATGGTTTAAGGAATATCTAAAAAAAAAGAAAAAAAAAATTTATACTTATTAATTGGAATAATATATTTTTTAATTCACCTTTGACTTAAACAGGAGGCTAATGGAATTTAGAAACCTAATTATGATTCATTACAATCCTGATTGTGATTCTAATATCTGAAAACCCAGACCATTGTTTTGAATTCCAATGAGGGATATGAAATGTTCATGAATTCACTCTCCCTTATTTGACCCTTCCAGGCCTCAGTCATCATTTCAGACTTTGCTGCCCTAATTCTTCCACTGTCCCTAGCTCTCAAAGCTCTTTTTAGTGATGACAAGGGCTTATCGGAAACAAGCAAATGGTTCTATTTTTGGTACCAAAAAAAAAAAAAAAAAATTGTACAGTATTATAGAAAGCCAAAGTTGAAAAATAGGAAAATGAAGCCCCCTTGTGGATACAAACACATCCTACCAGCTATGCTCAAAAACCACTGGTCACACTGGAATACAAAAGTATTCAGTAGAATATATTTCAGAGTAAAATGCAAAGGATTCGCTTGAGATAGTCTAACTCCAATTTCTAATTCCAGTTTGTCAGGACAGAAATGATCTCCAATACCACTAAATGGCTTTGGAGATCATCCAGCCACAATGCTGTGGCTTAAGGAAATGTTGTTTAAAGTACCTCAGGAGAAAGAAATGTATTTGAAATGCTGGGACAGAGTGGCTAACCTTTAATTCTCTCTTCTTTAAAATGGGAATAAGAGCAATACTTGCTTTATCTATTACACCGGGTCCTTGGGCTTCTTAACTGTCACTGCGAAGGAAGAGGCAAGAGAGCGTCATGGTTATGAGTAAGAACTTGCATCCTAGCTCTGCCACTTCCTGTCTACCAGTGGCTCTTCCACTTTTGATCTTGGGCAAATATCTAAGCTTCTCTGTGCCTCACATTCCTCATCCTTAAATTAAAAGCGGTGTCTCAGAGTAGTTGAAGATTAAATGAGTAAATAAATATAAAGTACTTAAATCAGCAGCACAGAGTACTATGTAAGCATTAGCTATCATTATAATTATGATCATCATTATTACTGTTTGATATGCTTTGAAATATAGAAAATGAAAAGTCACTGCCTAAAATAATCCAGTAAATTTTAACCATTCACCAAAGCTTTGGAGAAACTATCTGTTGTTGGAATATACACCCCCGAAGCTCTTTTACTCTGATGAAATGCATATTTTTCATACATTAGTTTCCAGAAAGTTAACAAGCTTGATATGTGACAATTCTCTAATAGTTCTAAAAGTTATCGGTTTGTGAGAACATCTTACAACATGTCCAACACACACAGTCTTGCCAGGAAGTTTTTAAATTCTCATTTGCTATTATTATAATATATTTTCATGGATATGACAGAGCTATCATATGCCAATAAAAAAATTAGGGACAGAAAGTAAAGAATGTCTTAGACATTATAAACTGCTTATATGGGCTCTCAAAACTAGCAAGACAACTCCCTGGCTGCCTCTTGGCTCTTTCTCACCAAGTCTAAATTATGCTGAGATTGATAATAGACATTGTGATTATATCATAAATTTCAGTGCACAAGATTTCATTATTCTAAAATTCTTGCAACAATTTCATTTGCAATATATATAATAGGAAAGCAATATTATAATTATGTGTCCTCATCTACACACCTTTTTCTTCAAATGTTTTAAATTTTTATAATTTATGATGTTTTTCCTTTATTTTCCTTAATTTTCTTTATTTCCCCTCCTTACCATGACTTTGAGCTGCAATAGCAGTACCTAAAGTGAATTAGCCGGTTTTTCAGACAATAGACCTGGTCCTTCCATCCCCGCTTCCTTCCCTTCAGAAAAGAACAAGGCACATGGGCAGCGTATGGGCAGGCAAGGCTAACCTGGCAGGCAGGGCTATAATGATGGGTAGTTGCAGAGACTTAAAAGTTGAAGGCAACAATCTGACCCCATCCCCACCTCCAAACACAGAAACCTCTTACATGTTGTAAAGTATCTTGATGAAGTGGTATCTAATGAATGTGTCTACGAGGGATTTATTTGTGTCAGGGGCCAAGGATTCTCTCAGAAATGCAGCTCTTCTGAAGGAAGAAAGAGCCAAGACAAAAGCCTGGTCTCTGAAACATGGGCCAGTGTTGAGGGGAATTGACAACTAATATTTTCATTTACTCATTCCTTCAACAAACATTTATTTTGTACTATGTGTCAGACATTGCTGGAGACCACAAAAAGAGGCATGAACAAGCCATTAGGCTCCCATGCTGTCACTCTATCGTGAGCCTGTCATTCAGCTGTCACACAATTCCCTCATCTGTCCCATGAGGGAAATGGTAGCACATATCTCAGTGAGCTATATATCCTTAGAGCAGTACTTGGCACATAATAATAGCTAATACCTATTTTTTTAATACTTACTATTATAACAGTTACGATTATTCTCCAAGCCAGAACAGTGGGTTCACATCCAAGCCCTTAGAAGAAGGGACAGTAAGAAGGGGTGAGTTAAAACCAGGTCTATTATATGAAAGCTTTAGGATACTTGAATGTAAACCAGCATGGATGGGATCATCAGCATCGATGCAGGGAGATCTGGTGTGGCAGGAAATGATGCCTTCAGAGCCAGAAGGCTTCCTGTGTGTCGGCCCCTTCGTGTGGATAACAGAAGCCACAACAGCAGACCTTACCTCAGAGCTCCAGATCAGGAGAGGATACCATGTGGCAGCTAAGGCATGTTTATCTGAGTGCTTAAGAGCCACTCGCGGGGGATAAAAAAAGGTGATAGAATCCCAGGACCGGCAAAATACAAAACTGTATGGAAGCTTTATTTTATTCTAAAATTAGTGCGTCCTTGGAACTTTTTAGTAATAATAGCTACCACTTATTGAGCCCTAACCACGTGTCAGTCCCTGTGGGAGAATTTTACTATCATTAGCATTTAAGTTTCACAACTCTGCCTCCATTTCCCGCTGCCTTGATGAGAGCAAATTAAAAAGCTAAATGACTTGCCCAAGATCACATAGGAAATACTGGGGAGCCAATTCTCACCCAATCTGTCTACAGCAGAGCCCACTCTCTTAACCACTATGCTACCAACACCTTCCTAACCTAACTAGAAAAGGCCAGGCATCAGGGAATACAATGTGAGTGGTGTCCGCTTGAGAAATATAATATGACAGTAACTCGTTGTGATTCATCATCTCTCGACACACAATGAAATGTTATGGTAATAACTATGACTGAAATGTTATGGTAATAACTATCATTTATTTTAAACCAGTAGGAATATGTCAACTGTTCATACATAGTCATATGTCTTATTATTTAGCATTAGGAATAATACAAAAGAAAATCAAAGTGATAGCCCTCATGTTATTATGATAAATCAAAGAGCACAAAGCACTTACCTGGAGAATTTTATTGGCTGTTATTACTGGAGCCTCATCATTTATTGATTCAACAGTCACAAAAAGAGTTTGGGGAAAACTCTGTTTTCCCAGCTCTAAGCTATTTGCAAAGACGGTGAAATTGTCAAGAAGTTCCTCACTATCATCATGAACATAGTAAATTAATTCATTCTCCACCTATTAACAACAGCAAAAAAAATCACCAACTTACTAAAATGTGATTAAAAAATATAAGTAAATTGCTACAAATAAATCTTAGTTTTTTTATCGCTCTCTAAAACACAGAACATGTGTCCATAGCATGAAATTTGATTCTGACAATTAGAGTGTAAATTATGATGGATTGTATAGTTTTTATGAATAGATGCTGCATTCTAGAAATAAGTTTAAGGAGGAACAGAGTGATCAAGCAATGTAGGGTAAAAAGAACGCTGGATTGTCATCAGAAGTCAAAGTTCAAAGGCTATTTCTAACACTAAAATATGTTGTAGGTAAGTGATATAATCCAGCCTTTCTTCCAATGGAACAACATCCACTAAAATTCAGACTCTACTTGTTTATTTAGAGTGACTAATTTTTGAAGCTGTGGATTGCTTTGTTGGGCAAGTCAGAATGTTAGATTTAGGCTCTGAAGTTTCCACCTGCTGGTTGGATTTCTGCTCTTTGTAAACATACGGGCAACTTTTAAGTTTACCCAAACTTCTCTTTTCTGAGTTAAGCATAAACTATTCTCTTAATTGTTTTTTTCATATGAGAGGTTATACCTGCTACATCAGCATGCTGTTTCTCCTCCTTCAAAATACAATTGTTTTTTGATGCATCTCTTAATAGATGCTACCCAACACTAGCTACCATATATCTCTTGTGGACAAAATATAATGAAATATATTGGAACCAAATTATTCTATCAAGGCAGATCTACCTCACTGTAATAACCCAAATGCAAACATTTACTTTTATCCTTTTTAGATTTCATCTTTCTAATTTTCATTCTGAAATGGTCATCAAATGAATTAGTTATTCCTCTTGGATTTCTAGCAACCACAAATTTGATCAGAAATGCCTTTCATGTCTTTAAGGCTCTGATGGAAATACCCAAGAGCACAGGAGCAAAATCAGAGACCAGGAGAATTTTAAAGCTGGAAAGGAACTTGGCTTCAGTGAATCTGTGACCCAAACATACAACAGCACAGAGTTTCCAAAGCCCAACAGGAATAGGTGAATTTCTGAAAAAGTCTCTGGGGTTGTTTGTTTTGATAAAATACAGCCAAAATTTTTAAAAGTTCAACTTCACCCATTCCTATGGTGCACTTCCTTTGAGCAATGACTTTTGATCTCTCAGAGAATCTCAAGGGAAGTTGTGGCTATTCATACACAGGTGTGATGAGAATTTCTCTGGAGTTCCACAGGCAGGGGAACTGCAGATCATAGGGCTGACCACATGTTCTTGGAACATGCTGTCTCAAGCTATTTGTAAACAAACATGGAAGATGGCACTGACCAGAGAGCAAGATAATTTTTAATCTAATAAGCTTTTGAAACAGAGCATTTAAATAGATGTTACCTCCTCAGTATTTTTCCTGAGGAAATTCGTCTTTCCTCAATAAAGTGGCACTCCCCTAAATTATATGCCATTTAATAGGCATTAATCTAAAGGCAAAGAAGAGGGTCTGATGGGACTATTTTTATCTCTAGACTTCTAACACTAGAAAAGCATCCGCTGAACTGAAATTAAAAGATATAACAAACTTGTAGAAAATCTTAAAAGAATAAGAAGTGTTCGGTCCCCTGTTACCAATCATGTTCAGGGCATATTGTGTCATTCATCTGCTCACATCCCCCCTCCTCCATTGTTCTCCACCTCACTCAGGGTCAAAGGTGAAGTCGAAGGCCTTCCCATACTGGACCTCCCTAACCTCATGTATTGCTTTCCTCATATTCATGCAGCTCCGGCCACATTAAACTTGCATGCTCCCCACACAGAGCGATTCGCTTGCTCTTCCCTCTGCCCGAATGTTCTTCCTTCATATTCACCTCGCTCACTTAGGAGCTTATATAGGAAACGATGAGGATCTGCCAGTTACTTTTCAATATTTAAAAAGAAAGTAATGGAAATCATTTTTTTATTCACTATAAGAAAACAGTCTCACAATAATAACATTCTAGCCCAAAGCACAGAAATTTGATAGCAGCCTAGAGTTGACTCTGGTTATTTTACGCTGATTGGACACCAGATTGGCAGTTGTGTCCAACTGCTTTATTGCAGGAGCTGGACCATTTTAGCCATTGATAGTGCTTTGATTTTCATAGGGCACGGCACAGAGTATATACTCTATCAGCGTCTGTTTATGAAACAAGAGAATAAATGAATGAAAAAAATCCACTAATGGTTAAAGCATGCTTGTGTTAAATGTCTGAGTGTCATACTTTCAGAAGGACACTGACAGTGTGAAGTTCCTCTATAACTGGGTAGCCAGGATGTTGCAGGGGCTAGAAATTCAAGACATATGAGCAAAAGCTAGAGAAACCAGAGAAGTCAAATGTAAAGATAAAATCCAAAGGAATTTGATAACTTTTTCCTTCAAATATCTAAAGAGCTTTCATAAAAGGAGGTACAACTTGTTCTGTAGGCTATCAGAGCCAAGACCTATAAGAAGTTTTTAAGTGACAGATTTCTGCTCAGCATAAAGAACTTTATAATAATTATTTTTCAAATTGGAAGGGCCCATCTCAGGAAGTAATAAGTTTTCCATCACGTAAGATATTTAAGCAATGGCTAGATGACCTCTCTATGAGGTTGCTGGGAAAGGGCTTCCCAGTTGGGAGGTTTAACCAGATACCCTTTGAGGCTCTATCACTCCCAAGAGTTGAGGAATCTAAATAATAAAGCTATTTTTTTTTCTCTTATCCAACATACCCAAATATATTAACTGAGAGTTATTACCTGTTTCCTGGTAAATTTCATTAGCTTTACTCTTGGAAAATGAGAATTTTCAACATAACCATGTTTTGGTGGTTTGAGAAGAACAAATTCGCAGTCAAGCCCTTCAAAGTATTTGCTTGGAATTTTGAGGTCATCTTCCAGGAGTGCTCTGGAACCACCTTCTTGGACTGTGAAGTTTCGTACCTCCAGAGGAATCTGCTTAGGAACAATATCCACCAAGATTTCAACTCCACTCACAGCTTGGAAACCATTCATCACATCCAGTAAAAAACGGTCCTTTTGTTGGTCAGGAGCTGTCTGCACATAATAGATGTTACCATCATCAATATCCTGTTGTGTAAAAATCAAAGGGGACTTTTCATTTGCACCCAAGCTGCTTTCTTCTAGTAAAGATTTTCGGAGGTAGCCATGTGTTGGTGGAGTTCTGACAATGAACGTTGCCTCTGAAGGAATATTATCTTCATGCACAGCCTTGAGTTTATATATACAAGACACAGACACAAAAAGGGAAACACATTAATACATGTAAGAGTCATGACCCTGGAACCAATTTTTTTTCTATTAATGCCCACAAATGGCTTAAGTTACAATCAGGGTGGATATACAGTTTAAGCCTGGGTCTGTTTTGGTGACTAGGCCAATATTTTGAATTTTAACCCTAGTGGCAATGAAAAGTAATGGTCAACAGCGCTTGAATAGCTAGCTGCTAACAGATTAACAAGGCATCGTCCATAATGGCAAGAAACTCAGGATTCAGAAAGTCGAAGTGAAAGAAATAAAAGGTGGAAGCAGCAGATGAATCACTAAAATTCTAAGACTTTAGGGGAAAGTTTATTTTTCTCCCCCATTTTAACTAGTTCAACATTTTCAACATATATTTAATCGACTGATTCAGTAAAATCCATCCCAACTGTCATTGTAACTGATTTACAGTCACTGACCTGCACACGCCCCCTCGTGGAGAAACTTAAACATAAACTCTCTTAAGATAAATAATTGAGAAAATAATTGAGAAAAGCTGGTGGGCCCCATGTTCCCTTAGTCAAAACTCATTATTTGAAACATTATATAAGTTTCAAGTGTACAATTTTATAATGCATTAACTTCTCATTGCATCCCCCCAATAATTTTAATTAAAAAATGTATTGTACATCCCCCCTGTGGATATTAAATAGACATTAAACTGATGATTACAAAATAGGGAGAGTATGTTCTAACACAATTTTTTAAAACTACAGAATATAAGATACCAAAAAACCTCATTACTTAGTAAACCGCTTCTGATTTGAATTCATTTCTACTTGGTGTTATTGCCTATATTTAGCCTGCAAGTAAACTTGTTTGCAGTCCTGAAGGTAGATACAGAATACCTGCATTTGTGGCCAATTGTCATAAATCAGTTTACGAAGCTGTCCGAGATTACCCTAAAAAGAAGACTCTTTCCTAACTCTGATCAGCATGACTGTGCCTGCTGGAAGTGTCCAAGTGGGAGCCCCAGGGAACCAGGTAGCTTCTGGGGGGAGGTCTCACGCCCAGAATTCCAGTGGTCTAGGCCAATTGTATCCATCTATTTCAGGAAACTAAAAAAGACTACACTCAGAGCTAAGGAAATAAACTGTAATATACTATCCTCTGCTGGTTTAAGAATCCTTTTTATGTTTGTTAAATTATTCAAAGTTTTCATTTCCTGCTTCATCACATTATGAATATAACTCAGATCAAATAAAATATTGGCCATGTCACTATGAAAAATTTCAAAAAATAAAGCTCTTTTATCTACTATAATATATACATCCCCTGTTCATTCCCAGTTCATCCTATACCAAACATACACACATACTCATGTGCCTTTGTGCACACAGCTTTAAAATAAGGCTTAGTATTGCTTATCCTCATTACCAACTATAGGGAAATTAGTAGAATCAAAATCATGTAAATTTCCCACATATCTTCCAATGGCATCTACATTTTTTAAAAAGTAACTCCAAATACCAGAAGAGAAATCAATACAAAAATAGCTTTCAGAAGCAAAGAAATAGATTTGCCCCTGTGATTCTGGGAGGTGAGACTGTGTGGTGCCAGGATGACTACCTACCTGGAGCTTTCCTCTACCCAGTTTTACTGATTTTCCTTCTTCAATTACAAGGGTCTTGCTGTGTAGAACCTGGGTGGGTTGCTGGTGGTTTTCCAAGGACACTCGCACATAGACACTCACTTCTAAATATGTTTCTTTAACTTTCACTGTCAGGTTGAACACATCAAAGTTGCCACTGCCATCGTGCCTATAAACCACATGTCCTTGCATCAAGTCATGCTGGGTAAATGAGTGGGACACAGAGTTGTTGACCAGCACTCTGCCATGCTTTGCGGGCTGCACGATATGGAATTCAATCTCGTGGTTCGTTCTAATATCTTGGTTTGTGGTGACACTAAGGTTGGCTGCTGTGAGCCTGCAGTCTTTTCCTCTCTGTACGAGCAGCCCCGTGTTGTTGGCTAATTGGATGTAGGGGTCTGACACACGGACCTCAAGAAGAGACGACGTGTAGTGGATGCCATCTGTCACAAACAGCACAAAGCGGGCTGAATCTGCACCCTGATGCCTGAAGAGCACGCGCCCTGCTTGTAGGTCGTCTTGCCTGAACTGGTAGAGTTTCTGAGTGGGGTCACTGGTCCACACTAAGTCCCCATTTGGGATGCCCCGCCGGGTGTACAGCAACTGCCCATCATCAAAGTCTGAGTCAGGGTCATGGTAACAGAGATCTGCCAGTGTCAATAAACGCTGACCATTCCGCACAACATGGAAGACCTTATCTACCACACGCACGGGTCTCTCATCATTTTTTAGCCCAACAGAAATGATGACTTTGAGTTCTGTAGACAAATGCTCCATGTCAAGACCCCTGACCACTCCTTCTTGGCTCATAGTAGAGGCTACAAGGAGGAATTCATCCCACTGGGTCTCAGAGTCATCGTGAACATACATCAGCCGCTCACCCACTATGTCTTCATTAGTGAATGTAGTGATATTGTCATGACTTCCCAGAGAATCTGAAAAGTTAACCAGTTTCAGCTTCCCATGTTGAGGACTCCTGGTGAGTTTATATTGGAAGGTCTGATTATCCAGGGTTTGAGCGAATAATTCCGATTTCGTAATTAACTTCCCTTCTCCTTCTTTTACAAATAATCCTCTGTTAGTTAAAATAATGTTTGTCTTAGCAGTTTTTAAGTTTATTGTGAAAGTATAATCTTTTGATTCTATGTGCTTTGCAACAATCGAGAACCTAAAAGTATCTTGTGTGTCTTCCCTAGGCCTCTCCTGTGGTTCATAACTTACCTTTGAGTCTGTAATGTCATGTTGGCTGAAGATTGAGTTTGTTTTTAGAATTTTATTGCCAAGTAGCAATTTTCCTTTCTTAGGTGGGGTCTGTAACTTAAAATGTAGTTCCTTCTCAGCTACTTCCACACCCTCTGTTACAGCCTGTAAGTGATCACAATTCAATACTTGTCTGTTCATTTTATCGATCTCGAGAGGAACATTTTTCAGAAGTGTAAACTTTAGCCACTGTACAGTAACAGGAAACATCAGCTCCCCACTCATTTTTCCTTCTATGTTAACTTTAAATTTAAAGTAATCTGTAACATTTTCTAGCTGTAATTCTTTGAATGTACTGCAGTACCGGATCTGACTCCGATCAATGGAATGCTGAGAAAAGGTACTAACTTGTTTCCATTCTCCACTTGACTCCTGCCGCTGAATCTGGCCAAACTGAGGTAGACGAGTGATAATGTAGTGGGTCTCCATCTCATGATGTTCACCGTTAACTGCCACTGACAAGTTGCTCTGTGTAATCAGAACTGTGTCACCCTGCCGTACGACCACCCCTGTTCTATTGGCCACTTCAAAGTCCAAAGGAACAGCCATGACCCGTAACACCACTGTATTGCTAACTAACTCGCCATCACTTGCTCTGAGAAGGATCCGAGAATTCCGATGGCCTCTGTGCACATAGAAAATGTTGCCATCTTTTAAATCCCCATGGGTAAAGCTATTAATGGCTCTCCCGGGATCATTGGTATTTTCTAAAAATCCAGCATCTGAATCGAAGTTGCCAAGAACCAAAAAACTAAGATTCAAGGAATCTGTGTCAGGGTCTGACACATGGATTATATTTGGAGTCAGTCGCTTCTTCGAGTTCTCAAACAGGAGAAGCAAGTTTCCTTCAGGGAGTTTAAGGTATGGGGGGTCATTTACTGGAATGACAATAATGTTAAACACATAGGGAACGTGACCTTGTAGATACAAAGGCATTTCCTCCTTGCTCTTGGAAGAGACTGAAAATGTGAAGTAATCCCTAGCTTCTTCTGAACCATCATGGATATACCGAACTTTCCCTTGCCCCAAATCTAACAGAGTAAAAGCCTTCTCCATCTCCTGTTCAGGGGAAACAGCTAATCGAAGGAACCCATGAATAGGCATTTCCTTTATTTTAAATAGTATTTGAGAATGGTGGATACCCAAATCTTTAAATTGCATACCCATTTTCACATGCCTTTGTTCCAGCAAGGCTTGCCCACCTTCTTGGACCTCCAAGTTATTCAGAACTAAGAAAGAGCTACTCGCATCTTGAAGGAAAAGCTTGCCAGTCTCAGGAATAGCAGTGGGAAGGAGAACTTCTGACCGAAGCGCATTTTCTGTTGTTGTTATGGAAAGATTTTCGGCATCACGAGATTTCATTTTACACCCAACAGATATATCTTTGGAAACGAGGGCATCCTTTAATGCCTTCTTTTCTGAGTTGACTTCCAAGCCTTTTAAGCATCCTTTGAAAGAGATTCCTCGAGATTTCCTAGGCACAGAGGCAAGTTCTAACTTCTTAACTTCTTCTCTCTTGTGGTTATCAAGACCTCCCACGAAGAGGGGGCCTTCAGATACAAACAGTTTGCCTTTCAAAGGCAGTGATGCCCTTACCCCTTGTTCATCCACCATCAGGTCCAGATGCCTTTCAGTGAATCTGAGTTGAATAACATGCCACTTGTCATCACTCACTAAGCTAAAAGAAGAGAGCTGAGTATTACTTTTACTCCTTCCTACATGAGCCCTCAATACACCTTTAACAATTTCCAAAGCGACGAACTCTCCTTCTCTACCTGACTGAAATAAAATCAAGGCTTGTTGAGTTCCAGTCTGAAGAGCAAATTCCAACAGCCCTTCCCCTTGCACCTTCCATTGTGGGAAGGTGACATAGGATCTGGAGCTAAAGAAATTGATGGCTTCACCCTCTCCTGCAAAAAATTCATCACTGCATCCCAGTGACACCTCATAGACCTTCTTAAAACCAGGGTAAGATCTAAGAGATGTAAGGATCTCCCTCCGGTTAAATACCACATCCTCCACACATCCACGGAAATTGGGGAACTCTTCAACTAGGTAAGGGACATCAAGTCCGCTGTGGCCTCCTACGTAGACTCCATGTTGAAAGTGCAAATTGTGCATCCCACCAGTGACCTGGCGAGTCGTCTCATAATGTTTGTCAACAATCAGAGAGATAGTATCCTTAACACAGTACAGTTCCACTAAATGCCAGGTCAAGTCATCCACATGAAGTCTCTGTTCAGAAAGGCGTACTTGTTCACCTGCCCCAAGATTCACTCTCACCTGAAAGAAAAAGAATCAATCGATTTTGTGTTACAGGGTTTTATTAAGAAAACAGGGCCATTCAGAGAGAGAGAGAAACGTGGACATGAAAACTTTTTCTATATTTATGGGCTACATATTGAGGTTAAAAATTTTCAGAGTCGAAATATTTAAGACAAATTGGAGAATTTACAGATGGCACATGATTTTATTCTAGTGAAATAACACGAATCAAAGGGATAACCGTTTTGTTGTCTTTCTCTCTCATTGTTTTTCTCTCCAGTAATTGAATGCTTATATGGTTTTAAGGATTTTTAAAAATCTTACCCATAAATTTCCTGAGAGAAGTTCTATTATACAGTAGTCATTTTTCCCAGCTGCAAGAAAAAGTAATCCCTGTGGTTTGCTGGTTTGAAATTTCAATCGAAGAGATAACTCAGAGGAAACTTCTATGGTACTGAGCTCCACATAGCTTTCACCATAAAAAGAAGCTAGGGAGAAATTTTTAAAAGAAACATGTTAGTAACTTTATTAAACAATGACTGTTCCACTTTATATTGTCATCTCCCTTCAGGGACTGACCCTACTGAAGAAAACTGCCCTGCTCAAGGCCACCCCTGCTTCCTGGGTGCCCCACGGATCCAACATGGGGGTATAAAAGCTCGTTGTTCTCTCGCCTCAACTTAGGACAGCTCTGATGGGTCAGTCCCTCTTCAAAAGTCTCAAGAGGGGCGGCTGGGGCTTTCACTAAAACTGAATTGCCATTCGACTTCTCCATCTACCCAATACTGCTTCCTTCCCTTCCACAGGAACTAATCCCAAGTCGCTGGAGGTGAACTGGTATAACAGTAGAAGGGAACACATTAGCTGGCTATGAAATATCAAGCTGTGAAAAATATAGGGCAAATAGTAACCATGAGGGCAACGAAACTGGGTGTCTATTGCTAAGTTTGAATCAAGTTTTGGGAAAAGATAAAATTTAGAAGAGATTAGTTGACAATTACGAGCTAAATGCGAAAGCCAGAGTATTTCCCTGGTAGTCTTTCTCATCTCTTATAGCAGGAGGACAGAGAAAGGTGAGACTTCCACACAGGAATTAATCAACAGAGTAGTCGAGCTCCAAATAAAGTCCCAACCAAGACAGGCTTGCTTTGACAAGGCTATGGCTCTGGCTGGGAAAGAATGGAACCCTGATATATGGAATCGAGACACTGGATTGACGCATTCAAATATCTCGGGTCCTTAGATCCCTCTGAATCCTCGTAACCCACAGAATTGACCTAGTTCCATATTAACTATGGCACTATTTGTGCTTAAAGAAGATGCAGAGGCTTCTTCCTACAAGCAACATGTGAACCCTAATGATATGTCCCCATCTTTCCTCCCGACCACTAGACCAGAAACAAAGGTTAAGGCACAACATAACCTGTGTGGGGACATGCTGGGCTTGATGTGGGAGGAAAGGGACTAGACCATAAAGGAGCTGGGGGACCCGCCCAGAATGGACTGCCAGTAGCTAGGAGAATACACATGGGACTGAGGGTATCTGATCAAGAGGACGGAAACATAAGGTTGATAAGAGAGAATTCACAGATTTCGGAGTACTCTCCTAAGGGAAAGGATATAACATGCTGGCAAATGGTATAAACTCACTGCTAAGGTGGCTCCTAGAAGCACAAACACTGCAAAGATCCACCCTGAGACAGACATGACAGAATTGCCAAGACAGATGATGGAAGAAGAGATTCAAGGGATGGAAGTGGTATATCCAGGATACGGCATGAATAGGGCCAGAGGCACAAGCAAGTTACACGAGATGGTAGCTCCATGTCATTCTCATTCTTGCACCAGCACCTTTTCCTCAGCTCACACATATGGCTGCATGAGGATCCCTTATTACCAGCCGATGGAGGAACAAAACACCTGAGCTTGGTTCATGGAGGAGTTAACTTCATCATATGGGTGCAAGCTGAAAATGGACCCCTACTGCACTATAGTGCTTCTTAGGGGTGGCCATGAAAAATAGATGGGAAATCTTCTAAATAAATAGAATTTGGGGTGATATACTTCATAAACCATCTTGTATGAGAGAGAAGTGGTCTGAGATTAGAATACATAAAAACTGATAGTAGCGGTAAATGGCCCAGGCAGACAGTCAGGAACCTAGAATGAGACAGATTGAATGAAAAGGCACAAGGAGATCTGGGATAGATGCATGAATGTCAGCATGAAGTGGGAATATCATTATATTGCATGCCCACCAGAAAACACCCACCAAAAAATGGTACTAAACAATCAGGCAGACAAAATGACTTGGCCCTTTGGCAACGGCCAGCCTCTGTCATCTGCCACCCCTACTTTGCCACAATGGGTGTATGATGAAGAGCATGTTGTATTAAAATTACTTGTTTATTCACCTATCTCCTGCACTATTCCATGAGTTTCCTATGATCACGGACCATATCTTTTGTATCTTTCTCTCTCCAATACCTGGCACAGTACCTGGAACACAGGTGATATAATAGATTCTGCCAGTGCCCCATTTAGATCCCTTTTAACAGATTGGTGCACACATCTTCCAACAAATAAACTTTGTTGACCCCAACTTTTGTGGGCCCCAGTAAGTGCCTCAAAGTAACAATAAAAATCAAGACATTTCAGTAAAATTATATCCCCTGCCCTGAAGGGCAACCTATAGCCAATAACGGAAACAGATGCATAAAACATGTAGAAGTATGTGTTGCCACGCATATTGCTCTCCAGAGATAAGGCTGAGATTAGATCAACTGAAACTACATCTTTGCTTGGGCGCTTCCCCTGACTTATTATCCTGCATCCTCACTTCCTTACGGTTGTCTCCTTATAGTATTCACTCAATAATTAGTTTGCACAAGAACTCCTGCCTAACCCTCTCTCTCTATGGAACCATACCTAAGATAGGCAGACAGCAAGCAAGCATTTATTAAACCAAACTAAACTAACCTAGTAGACCCTTAGTTTATAGTTGAGTAAATTCAGGTCTAGAGAGGCATAGGGACTTGGGTAAAGTCAATAGTTAGTTTGAAACACAGCTAAGACAAAAAAACAAGCATTCTCAACCACCGATCTAGTGTTTTTACCAAGATACGAAGTTGATACAGAGATGATTGTGATCTCTACAGACTTCCTCAGATATGTACAAGTGCCCTTTTCTCTAGCTAAAAACAGCCATTAATAGTTAAACTCAATAAAACTAGAATGTAGGGATAAGGTCATATAGTTGACACCAGCAATTATAAACCCACTAGCTATCCTCGTTTATCCTCCTGGCCTTCCCATTACTGAATCCCCCCACTCCAATTTTTGACAGACTTAGAGGCTGTATTGTTAAGTTTTCAAAACCAGGAAATGTTTTCTAAATCGTAAAATCTACCGCTGAGAATGACTAAGTAACATTAATAAACAACATTCCTATATTTTCCCACGGTTCACCTCTCTGGCACTAAATCAATTCCAGCCCCAGCTGGTGGCTAGAAATTTCCATTGCCTCAAGGGAAAAACAAGGAAGCAAGTTTAAAACTTCTGGTTTTAAAACTTCCTTGCTTACCTCCGAACTGACCCCAACTTTTGTGGGCCCCAATAAGTGCCTCAAAATAACAATGAAAAGCAAATAGAAGCACAAGTAAAACTGGCTCCTAGAGAAAGAAAGGTGATCCCTATCCGCAGTGAAGGAAAAGGTATGATTTCAGTATTATATGTGTGTAGCAAATCAAGGAGAACAAAAATCGGAGCAACGTGTGTGCTTAAATAAACCGTGAAATGGTTGAATGGAAGCCAAAGTTTGGCAGTAAGGTGGGTAAAATTCTTTTCATGGCAAGTTAGCATTTCTATTTCTAATTTCTCCCAGGTGGGTGATTGTTTATTTTCTTTACTTTAGAATTGGTTCCCATTGCTTCTTCTAAACTACATCTTCCTGCGTTTTTGTTTGATTTGGGTTTTGTGTTTGTTTGGAGGTTTGTTTGTTGTTGTTTTGTTTTTACTATTTGAGCAACTACTATGTGCCAGGTACTATCAGGAGTTTAAGGTAGGGAATTAATAAGACAAAAGGGCTTGCAATCTAGCAGAGGAGAAAGCTGCTTAGAAAGATGAGTGCACCCAAGTGACATTAGACAGTTGGTACAACAGAAGCTTGTTAGGGGTCAATCTGGGATATGAGGAAAGGAACAATCTAATCATAAAGTGTCTCTCTCTGACAGTTTCAAGAGTCCCATCCTACATGCACTTATTCTGTCCACAAATATACCAAGTGTTTGGTACTGGAGATTCAATGGTGAATGAGATAGACTGCTAATCAAGCAATTACAGTTGCTCAGTTATTAACTGGGAAATGTAGACCAAAATAGAAGCACTTGACCTAACAGGAGGGTGGAGTAAAGGCCCTCAGGTAATGGCTTCTAAGAAGAGCTGATAAGGGGTTGGGGAGAAGAGGAGAGAAAAAAAAGAGGGGAGAGATAGGAAGGAAGGAAAGAGATGACTGCAAGGAACTAAAGGTCCAGTATAGTGTGAGGAGTGTTGGCCAGGGTAGAAGTTGCAGAGCTTTGAGGGGTCGGGGGCAAACAGTCAGAGGGCAAATGCCAGTGCATTCATCTGAAAGACCTTCCCGATTAAAGTGTGCGCACACACCCTCATTCATGCTTGCAAATGTACCCACCCAGTGGGTGACTACTCCTTCAGGGCCCTTATCATGATCTCTCATTACCTTCATTATTTGTTCTCTTGGTTATTATTCAGCCCCAATATCAAACCAGCATAAATAGAATGTAAGATTTTTCGTTCAAGAGCATTTATTAGTCTCGATTGCTGCTCGATTCTCAGTGCCTACAACAGTGCACAGCACATTGTAGGCACTCAATAAATGACAGTTTTGGAAGCCAAATCAGAGTTCAGACTCGATCCAAAGAGGGCCATAAAGGGATCAAACAGGGAAACGACACAATGAAATTGCAATTTAGAAGCTGAGACTGGCTGAGATGCAAAGAATGAATTAAAAGGGATGGTGCGTACAGGGGAGCAGACATGGGGAGAAGCAGGTGGGCTCAAGAGATATTTAAGGACTCTCAGGGAAGGGAAAGGGAGAAAACAAGGGGGCAAATCCAGATTTCTGACCTTCCAGATTTCTGGCTGGGTGTCTCCTCACTGAGAAGGAGACTCTGGGAAGAGAGGCTTTGGTTTCCTTTTGCTTTGTTTTGTTGGTGCATATATGACAAGAAATTTTGAATGAACTGAGGAAATGGCTGACTGACCAACTGGATCCCCTTGGGCAGGGGCCCGCTCACCAGGAGGGCCTTACAAACGATATTAAGAATGTCAAACCTTATTCTGCAGACAGTGGGGAAGAATTAGTGGGTTTTGGTTGGGAAGAAATGTTGTATTTTAGAAAGATCAGTTTGGTGACTGTGTGAAGGGGAATCAAGAGTAGTAGGATGCAAACTTACTGGGAAAGTACTCCAAA